GGCGCATTCGTCTGGATCAAATCTAGAAAGGCTGTTTTTCTGCAATTACTTTCTTTTTGTTACTTTTCAATGAGAACTAAATTCTCTCACAAAGCGATCAAAGTTGAAGCGGCAGAAGCTCGTCTTGTTATACCCGAAAACATAAATAAACACCAAAACACCTCTTTTCTCCATCCAATTGAAAAGCAATTTCACTTTTGTTATAGTCTATGCAAAGAAAGTCCTTTCAAACACTGTTTTCGTTTTTTTTTTCTTTTTCATCCGGATATGTGCCGTAAACGAATTAAAATCTGAAATGATAAATTACCGCCTGTGTAAACCCGGCTTATTTTTTTCCGATTTGAGCGCAAGTTTGCTTAATTCAAAAATATGTAAGTACCGTAACTAAACCGATTAGAGCTTTTACATTAATAATTTGTCCGATCTGGAAAGGCGTAAAGCGTGGGTAATCCGTGTCTAAACAAGCGCTGTTTTTGCCTCCGGGCTCGACTGCACAAGTCCAGTTAATTATGTAATTTGTTCGATTTCGTGCAACTCTGAAGAATGGAATGCCAGCTGCCATGGCGTGCACAAATGCATGATAGCTGACATTGAACATAATGGAAATTGCTGGATCCAAAAATGTCTAGATACCGGAAAAATTGAATTGAAGCGATGCGTGAAACTTGTCAGGAAAATAATGGAAAATTTTGCTTATGTGAACATACCAAAAATCATTTATTTTCGGCCGATTATTGCAACTAAATATGAAACAACGCCATAAATCACTAGTTTTTAATACGTTAAGCTCTTGACTGAATTATGCAAGAAAATTGGGGCATGGAACAAGAACAATTCGGTAAACAATGTAATTGAGGTGAGCTGGAAGTGTTCTGTGACCCATTGTTTCAAATTCCCTGATTTGTATTCTTGTTATGCTTCGCCTTGATTACAATATTTCCCTAAAGCTTCAACTCCTCGTCTCCTGAAGCAATTTTTTATCACAAGAATGTTAATTATCCACAGTCTAGGTTTACGAAAATTAAATTTGACGCGTCTTTTATTGCATTCTTTTTAAAAATCTAATTGAAAACATTTCTGCATAAATTTCTTGAATTTTTTGATTGATAGCAAATTTATTAAACAGTTGTAATCTTCAATTTCGATTAGACGAAGCATGGTTGTTGTTCACGAGGAATTTCAATAAAAGCTTTAAAAATCCGCAGGATTTTCGATTGTCAACGATGTCTCGTACTCGTCAAATTCTCTACATATCTGCTTCCACGTTTGATTAATTTCCACTATCTCAGCATCGCGAGTAGAATTCCCATATCCTTTCAAAAGCGATTTACAGTGTAAGGCGTTCCTATCTCTGCTTTAAACCATATTCGCCGTTTACAACAATTGGATGGATAATGTGAAATGACTCGCAAATAGATAAGTGATAAATGAAATTCGGTAACGTATCTGAAGTCCGACGTTTAAAACGAGTTAAAAGCCTGATCCTTAAAATAACTGTCGTTTACCAAACTTGTCAATTGCGAAGTCGAAAGACAATAGCATTGTCTCGTGATAATATTTATCGTAAAGATCACAAACCGTGGAAAAGCGAGTCATTATTCACCTGAAACGGCACTGTGGCAATTGCTGGAACATTCCATAATAAATCTTAACTCGTATTTAAGCTGATTCTTACATAATGCAGAGATACCGCTGTGCTACATTTAAATAACAAATGGTCATTTTTAAGAATCATGATGCCATTTAAATAAACACGAGGTTATCTTTACGTAGAAATATGAGCATTACATAAATTTAACGAGCGATAAACAAAAAGATTACAAGTTACTAAAGTGCTATTTACATGTCAAAAAAAAATCAATAATATATTTTAGGTATTATATGTAGATATAAAAAACGGCGGATCCACCAGTTTTAATTATAACTTTAGAATTTGCTGAAATATAAAAGCCATTAGCTGCATTAATGTATAAAGAGAAATAAATTAAAAAAACCCAGTCAAAAATATCCAAAGTTATCAATGTTAATTAAAAATTTATTTGATATAAATTTTACCGTTTTAATCTATTTATCACAAATTATGACTTTTGTGCTAAAATATTTAAATCAATAATAAACTTATATTTAGAAGTAATTTTATTTTTGGCCAGCTTTGTTTACATTTTGTCATCGTAACGCCAAGAAAATGTTACAAAATTCTTATTTTATGCAATTTTCCTCTTTCCTTATGTTTATTCTTTCAAATAAGGCGTATTAGTTCCTACATTACCCGAAAGTGTTACCATAAAAGCACTTTGCATGTCGGAAAATCGATGCGAAAGAGAATAGTCGGCCAAAGAATTAAAAAACAATGAGTAAAAATACAAAATGAGCAATTGCATGTTTTATGACAGTTTTAAAAATGAGCTGAAGTTTGTATTTAATTTGCCTAACTAATTGCTGAGTCGCGTAACTATCACCAAATCAAGAAAAATGCACAGCGAATAGCTGAATTGGTCACAGCAAATTTGATTTTGATTTATTTTTAACAATATCTCAAAATAATTTATTTTTAAGGATTGCTTACGCATTAACACATGTTAAGTGTAAACAGTTTGGTTCCTATAATTAAAACTTTACTACGACGTCCCTTCCTTAAACGGTAAATGATGTTGCATTAGCACTTTTAGCATCCGGGATCAGCAGATAAAGTAAAGAGCCAAGTCATTCACTTGATGTAGGTGTTGTTTGTACCAAATCTCAGTAGACTAATCTATTTCTACTTCAACTTTATAATTAGTACAATTCGACTTATCAGGAGTTATGTTTTTGCGCTTGTAATTATTTTTTGAGGGGAGAAAATTGGGTGAGGGTATTCTAATTAGTAATCAACTGTTGGTGTGGTTTACGGAGATTTGCATTCAAGCCGTGTTTGCGTTAATGCACCACGTAGCTAAAAAGCCTCCTCTACCTCTTTTATAGTCCTGTCCCATCTCACGGATCGCTTGGCGTGACCCACAGGTGCTTATATTGCCAATAATTGCGACACAAATGTAGAAACAAATAGTTTTTCGCCTAATATCTAAGTCTTAAGCCTCTTTGAATAATAAAAACCTTGTTTTTCGATTTGTCTCCAAGGACTAAACCAGCGATAACACAAACAACGCTAGCAAAATCAACAATGAAAACTCGGCAAAGATTCGTTTTGATGTCATTTTAATGCATCCCAGCCCGACCCTTCCGCCAGTCCGATTAACTTTAATTAAGAAACTTGCCATGTACTAGTACATAAAAATAGAATGCATTTCGTGTCGGAACAATTGTCTTGATGCGGCAAAAGCTACGCTTTTGTGTTAGCTCTTTTGTTATTAAAATATACAGTGACGGGCGTAATTATGAGAGACATGTGGGAAGTGCCACCATCGGCGATTAAAAACTTCCATTAATAACAATAAAACCCAGATGCGTTTCGTGAAAACGACATCGATGCCATGGCCAAGTTATTAATGTGTGATTCCCCTCGCGACGTGTCGTCACACTTTTGTTCATATCGCACAGATTCCGATAGAATACAAGGAGACGGTAATTGAGTTGAGAAATGTGTCACCCAGACATGTGTTTAGTTGCTCTCTCATCAACATTTATGTATCTGTTTTCCTTTTTAACGATCTTTTCCGAGGCACGAATGATGAATGGCCCGCACTGATCTATTCTGAAAAATGACCGGAATCCACCGGAAAACAAAAATGCACCACAAAAGTTTTACTAAACAACTGTGGGTTTTTTCAATTTCATAAATGCATTTCAAGTGAATCACGCCATTCGTACACCACAAACCACTAAGGTAAATAGCGTTCGCCCTCTCATTACCATTTTGATTACGAATGAATAATTACATTGTCCTTTACATAAAAGGCATTTTATGCTCTAATTTGGATTGGACACGCCCTACCCTTTTATCAATAGTTTCTTGCCTCCTGAATTTTCACCATGGTTAAATTTGCTCGATCTATTCCAAATCATGAACGAACTTGTATGCGGTAAAATGTAATTTACAACCATCGTCGTAACAATTTACGTATTTGGTTTGACTAAGGACATACGACGCTTTACTGTGCTGAACATGCTTGATTACCGTTTCTGAAAATTATCTTACCTAAACATATTACTATTTTAAAGTTGACCATATTAAAACATATTCTCCCTTCTCCATTATTTATAGTTTTGTAAAAAAATTACAATAATTTTAAAGTTTTTTTCTTTTTTGAAACAAAAATGCTGGCTTTAATAGATTTCCACCCTCTAATATCTTTGGAATTTAAACACGAGCTTTATTGGATGACCCGGTCATTGGAACGAAAAAGAGAGTATTTAAAGTTTAATTAATTTATAATTTGTAATCTCTTCTTCTTATGATAACAGTATCAAGTTCTCTAACTAAATATAAAGTAATTAATTTTTTAACTCAATCTGATTTTACATCTGAACTTGGTAAAAAATTAACAGCCTGGCGCATCCACCATCTTATAAAGTAAAGTTTTTTTTTATGTAAAATAAAACGTTTAGTGCCTATTTTCTGGAAGAAGAAACACCTTAAAATGACAGATACACGATATAAACTCCGTAAACGCGTCACACAAAACGATGTGTAGCCACAGACGCCGCTAATTCAGATTTCTTTTGAAATTTTTATAAAGCTGGTCATCTAACCAACATTTCTCATAATTACGACATCCACTCGTGCTTCCTCTTTGCATTATTTAAACACATCATTAGAGCTTTAAACGGTATATTAAATTTATAACGACTCTCTGTAGGCGACCTTCAATGGCCATTAAAAAAGCAAATGGTGCTTTAAAATTAGAGTGTTGGTGGCTATATTTAATAAAGATTTCGATGAAAAAAGCGGCGATAGTTTCGGTGTTTCCGGGCGAATTTCGATAGTTGGAGTTTGGTAATAAGCGAGGACGTGCCGTCTAGGATGTAATAGCAGACTTATTGATATTATTGATTTGTTTCAGGACCGGCCAGTGGCTTCCAATACACTTCCGGTACGCTCGAGATAATCTTCTTCAACAATGAACAGTGGTAGATAAATGGGCGCATAAAACTAAGCACGGAGTGCCACGCCGTGATCAATCGTGGCCAAATGTTCCATTATTGTTAAATGGTTTAAGATTTATTGTTATGCTCGATCCTGAAAGGCCACTTGAATTTTTTAAATAGATCAAAATTTACGCTAATCGTGAGTGAAAGCAGAAGTTATGTTATGACTCCGTGGTCTTCATAACCGGCAGGAATAAACATTCATTCTGCGTAATAAAGACAGTGACCTCGAGATTACGTCGAGATATGAAGCGACGAGCTTTAGCTACGCAAGGGAAAAAAGCGCCCAGTTCGTGGCCCATATACAGCTTAGTGAGCACCGTTGCAGTGGCCTGCTATCTTAACGGACTTAATGGCGACTTCGTGCACGATGATATTCCTGCTGTGACTCTCAATAAGGACGTCTTGGCCATCAACCCCATCAGTCATGCATTCAAGAACGATTTCTGGGGAACGCCGATGGCCGATCTGGCAAGCCATAAATCCTACAGACCTCTCACCATTCTCACTTTCAGGTAAATGAAATTTTTTGTTACAGGTGAAAATAAACCGATCGTTACTGAACGGACATTTAAAATAATCAGAAGCTTGGGTGATCGCAAAAAATTGAAATTGTAAAACTTTTAATACCGGAGCAAGGCGATTTTAATTCTGGTCAGCCATGGTTAAGCTCACCACTGGACACTTCAAACCAACGGGTTACAAGATAATAACGTCAGTCAGTTGCCTCTTGAATTTTTATAACAGTCAAGTATAAAGGAAGCGTTTCTGAATCTTGATATAAGTTGAACAGAAATGAAATAAAATTTTATTTGTAAGAAAATACCTCAAAGGCGTGACGTGTTAATGTTAATCAAATGTAATTTTGCAGCGAAATAAATATTAGCAAAACATCAATATAAACCGAATTTTGCTTTTCTATTTACTGCAGGTTTGATTAATATAACTTCTGCTGATGCAACATTTTTAATTACGCTCTTGATTTAAATCAAAATTTTATGATTGCTGGGCAACATCCAATCGAAAAGACCTGTAAATATTTGTTGAAACTATCAGAAATTAGAAACATTGTAAATATTTCGTTACATTTGAAGCCAATGAAGAAGCAAATAGAATTCCAGTACTTTTAGTATTTCAGCGTAATCATCCGTTTAGAAATTTATTTCCAACTTTTATCGAATCGAGGAATTCTCTTATCGAAAAACCCTGCGAGTGTCCTCATTTTTAGTCAAATTCCGTATAGAGTGCAATAGACAATTCCAGAATTCCGGATTGCGGATTTTGACCTCATTAGCAGTGCGCAGTAGTGAAACGTTACAATATCTTTTATGCGAACGTTCGATCAGATAGTTCTATCTACTCACTGATGAAAGCGTAACACCCATAATTTACCATTGCCTATCCGGGTGAAAGATTTAGAGATGGTTATGTTACGATTATATCTCTTTGTTCTACTCCAGAAATAGAAAAATTACGACGTAACAGAGTCGTTAACTGTGATTCGCTCATTAGTAATGAGGCTCTTTTCTTTACGTAATGCAAGTGCACACTGAACAAAATGCATTTGCATATTTTGCGTGACGTAGTAAGACTACAAACTCGTGTTATTGAAAGGAAGTTCAACTCTATTCTGTACAAGAAGTTTTATGGAGAGAATAAAGTCACGTAGCGTTGTTGTAGGTTATACCTGATATGGCTTTACAAACCATCAACAAAATCAGTTGTGTGGTCATAATCAAGGAAAATCTATTTTGTTTCGAAGCTCTTTTTCGCTTGTTTTATATTTTTCCATCAGCTTTTCGCACAAATCGATCCGATTATTTTGTGTGGATAAATACACATTCTTTGTTAGAGTTTTTGTTGATTTTAGTGCGAATTAAGTGAATAAATTTTTAGATACAGAATTTAAAATGTGGCTTTAATTATGTGCCTTTTATCTATTATTTTTGGTTCTATTATTCCCAATTAAAACATACGTAATGTTTCATACATTTCTAGAAAGAAATAAAACATAATATTTTGTCACAAAGGATAAAACGTTCATTTTCATTTTTACCTTTTTGTTAAAATTTGGTCGTATATTGTTAAATTATTGTTTTTAGTTTTTGATTAAACATTTTCGCTGTAATAAATAAAACTTTTTTTAAAAATATTTCAATGATGTTATCTTCGCTTTGTGGGTTGTAAAGCATGCAGTTCTTTGAACCGGGTTAAAATAAATCAGCAAAGCTTTTAACAGGCTCTTTCAGAACTCATTAAGCCACCCCAAAGTAAAAAAATTGCAGATAGGAGTAGGCGAAATAAATTTATATAGTCTTTAGTCATACAAAAAAGCCCTAACCGAAAATAACGGAGTACGTAACTCACTTTATTATCTTAATTAAAATTCCGCAGGTACATATTTTACTGGAAAAAACTTTTTAAAAAGGAACGTTTCAGGAACGTCTGCTTCATAGCAAATGAAACAAATTACAGTCAAAAATACTTACACAATTACGCAGATCATTGATGATTTCATTTGCAAGCAGGGCTGACAATATCGCGGCCGAAACTTTGTTAGGATCGATGTTTATGCAATAATTGCCGGCGGAAAATAATAAATTACATTCAGACGTAAAACCGGCCCATGTAAACGCGTAAACTAATTTAGCCGCTTGTAATAGCCTGTATGTGGTCAAAATGTAGTCAAATGAATTATGAAATTCGTTATTCTGCCCACCAAAGTTATCTATTTCTGGTGGCCTTCCTCCGGTAATTACCCGCCTTAATGGCTGGCCGTTATATAATTCCATTCGAGATAATTTTCAACTTGCAGTCCTTTACCACGATTATAATTCAAAATCAATGCTGATACAATGTCTGCAGCACAATGCAAGTTGGAACGAGACCAAAAAGCCTTTCAAAAGAATATCTAAGTGCGGCTAATAACCAGTGAATTGCAATTAACCGATGAATACTGAATATGTTCCAGACGTGACGGAATTTTTTTAGAGATTTAATTGGACAGAATTACTGGTCGAACGCTTTTACGTGCGATTTTCTGCTGAGAATTGACCGATTTTTATACGTGCAAAAGCGTCAAAAAGTTACGAGGGCGGTAATGGCACGTTTGCTTCGCATAAAACCCAAATTCACGACTTTAACGCGGTTGCGAGAAGCGATGCAAAAAGCAAATTGCGAAATGATATGATTTTTACAATTTGTCGGAAAACAAGAGGCGAGCACGCATCTGAAATGTCTTAAAAATATTTTTTGTTTGATGCCATAAAAATGAACAGTTTTAAACATCAATTAAATCCTCGTTACTCTACTCATAAAACTTTTTATTTCGTTCTTTAAATTTCCGCAAGAATAAATTTTATTCCTTATTTTAACAATCGCAGTAATAATAAACTTGCAATAAAATAACTCTACTGTTCGGAATAGATGCCATTCCACCACATAAAACAACTCGTCAAACTAAATACGAAAGAAAATGTAAAAAAAATGTTGTGGAGCTCATCACTTTCTAAAATTTACGTCACAATATAGATTTACTTCGCATTGGCTAATTTTTCATAAAATGATTTATCCTTTGCGGGAAAATACAAAAGAATGTGTTTTAGTGAGGCTGCAGTTTAGTGATGAGAGTCAGTCGTCTTAAAGGTAGATAAAAGCATTTTGAAAACAATCTTTTATGATGGAAAGCATTTATTTGAAAAGAAGCAACAGCTAGAAACGTGACAAAACGTGTTGGTATGGCGCGTTCGTGCAACAGTCGTGCCAGGAGCAGGCAGGAGTCGCATAGATAGCAGGAATAACAGGAAGACAATCAAATAAAAAACCGTACCTTATACCAATGAAAGCTAATCCTCCTACTATAAATAACAGAGTAAATGGACGACGAATCGTCTGTCAGATCTTTTCATGACGCGCAAGTCTAATATTTCAGCATTTGTTGGGTACTTAGTCACCATAAATCACACAACTACTTAAAAATCATATTTGTGAATATTACGTTGTGATAGATAGATGTAGTTGTGTGTTGTGAATGTCCGATTTAACCGACGTTAAAGCTCCAGGGAGAAGCTTCAGGTGATCTATCTTGCTTTAAAATGAAGAAGTATAATGCAGAGACGTAGGCAAAGCGCGAATGCACTTGCGGATTACTGCCACTGATTAATTGATTTTTTTTCTAGTAAATCAAAAATTAAGAAAAAGTTTTTATCACTTAGGAAAGCAAGAAATTTAAATTACATATTAATACGACTTGTACTTGGAAAAATATTTTGTCTTGCTTAGGTCGAAATCAGTTCTATCACATATCATTGTTTATCCATTTTTATTGTAAATAAGTCATTTTACAACTTTAGCAATAAAATTCTACTCAGTATGAAATGTACCTAAATCGGCCATTGTCGTGTGAAAGAGTTTAACGGCTTCATATTTTAGATATTCGTTGACAACTAAAAACTGACGTGGAAAAGCACTTTAGTGTTCCATGAAATTGAATGGAATTCTGTTAATAAGTACAAATCTTTAAAACCTGCATTTTTGTGCACTTGTCTGGATTTGATGTAAACTCCTGTTGAAGCTTTGCAGGAGCAAAATTAAAAATATGCATTTTTTGCTCGTCAACGTGACCTGAAAGCAATTTTTGCGATTATAAGAATCGCGGCCTGAATGACGTGCTCAGCATAGCCAGTGTTAGGTGAAGCATAAAGCTCATTTGCGTCAATGTAAATCAGAATAAAATATAAGAGAAAGCTTTTAAAAGTTAAATTAAAGATATGTACCTACCAGTGTCGTATCAGAGGAAGAGCGTAAAACAGCAGAAACTTAAACACACTATTGAAAAGTTCGTAAGTAAATCAATATTTAATTAACAAGGCGGCGTAAATTAACAGAAACGTCGGTTAATGAAAACAAAGCCAACTAAATAAGTATAAACAGTGCTCGCATTACTGAAGTATTGATGTAGAAGAAACACGGCGTAGATTGTGTTCAAGATGAATTGCTCCGTATTTTGCAGCAATTAAATCCGAAAGCCTACGCTTTCTTCTGATGGAACTATGCGTTTGACAATGCAATAAACAGGCCAGGTAGAAGCGAAATGAGTTTTCGAAGGCAATATTAATGACTTTCTGCCCAAATTAAAATCCTTAATTCGGCTAATACGGTTTGCGAGAGAAAGTTATTTAAGAAGTCGGAAAGAACTCACGTACGCACTTCAAATCCTTCTATTCCTTCCGAACGCCAACATTCGTTATCCTTTACTTACTCTCAGCCACGAATAGATTCGATTGAACTTATTTATCACCCGTCTGCAACTTTAAAATGATAATATTGTGCGACACGTTGCTTGTCTTTGGATTGACTCCTTTGAGATCAAGATCAAATGTCGAGTGATGAACATGACCTGGAGCTAAATGGGAATTAGTCGACTGTTGGCAAGTACGGTTCTGTTCTGGCCAATTGGCCGAACGTTAAATGGTGTGGATAGATTTGACCGGATAAACTTACTCTAAGATCGCTA